GAAATACAAACACTATTCTGGAAAACGAAAGCAGATTGAATGAAAATTCAGCTCGGTTAGTAATCTGGAGAAAATGCATGTAAACAAAGGGTTGATTGCAGGGCTTCTACTGAGGCGGTAATACCAGGATGGACCAGTGCCCAACTTTGGTATAAAACAGGTAGGATTTTAAACATCATGAGATTTGGGGCAAGTGACTCCGTTTATTTCCAAGGCTGTGGAACGGGCAGTGGGGGGCCCACAGGAGGGCAGCAGTGGGGACCCTCGTGCTGACGGATGCCCGGGATCCTGATGGGATCCTTGTCAATGTGCTGGTTCTGTTTTACTCGTTTCTCAGTGTTATCCTTGGGAAAACGGACCACAGGGCATACAAGAGCTCTGAGGTTTCCTCGTAACATTGAATTGAGTACAATTATCTCAAAAAAGAACTTAAAGAGGTCATTTGCATATCTTCTCCAATCTTCTATGAGCAAAATAACGTGAAAGACTCCACAATTGCTTTTTTTATGAGACTGACGCGCTGCCCACTGCGCCAAGAGGGCCGCCCACAATTGCTTTTTTTAAATTTTTATTTCTTTAAAAATATTTTTGTTGACTTCAGAGAGGGAGAGGGAAAGATAGAAACATCAATGATGAGATCATTGGTAGGCTGCCTCCTGCACACCCCCCCCCCCCCCTCACCCCCTGCCAGGATCGACCCGGAACCCGGGCATGTGCCCTGGCTGGGAATCGAACCCTGACCTCCTGGCTCATAGGTTGACGCATGGCCCAATTGCTTTAAATTTTGCGATGACACAACCAGAAGGTGGCACCACTACCACATGACTAATGACATTCATTTTAAACATCTATGATAATAGAAGGGTAATATGCTAATTAGACTGGACATCTTCTGGACGTCCTTCCTGATGAAGCCGGGGCCAGAGGGAAGCCAGCCCGGGTCTTGGGTGCCTGCCGAAGGGAAGCCGGTGCTGGCAGCTGGGGGAAGGAAGGCCTATTCTTGCACAAATTTTCGTGCATCGGGCTTCTAGTCCTATCTAATAAAAGACAAAAGGGTAACTGACCGTACCTTCGCTATGCTTCCCATTGGCTAATCAGGGCGATATGCAAATTAACTGCCAAGAAAGATGGTGGTTAACCACCAAGAAAGATGGCGGTTAATCGCCAACAAAGATGGCGGTTAATTTGCATACGTAGGCGCCAAGCAATGGAGCGAAGCCGGCTGGCCCCGGGCAGGAGCAGCGAACGAAGGCCGGTGTGGCGAAAGAAGAGCAAAGGGGGAAGCCCGCCGCACCGGACTCTGCCACGTCCCCGGGGCCCGAGCACAGTGAGCAGCAAGGAGCTAAGCCCCTCACCCGCCGCGCCAGCGAGCGAAGGCCTGGGTTCCGGGCGCCGGAGGAAAACTGGTGCCAGCAACAAGGGTAAGGGGCCCCCAAGGGGCCCCAGACTGCGAGAGGGCACAGGCCGGGCTGAGGGACCCACCCGAGTGCACAAATTTTTGTGCACCAGGCCTCTAGTCCTATATAATAAAAGGCTAATATGCAAATCAGTAAGAACGATTGGTTGCTATGACGTGCACCGACCACCAGGGGGCACTCAATGCAGGAGCTGCCCCCTGGTGGTCAGTGCGCTCTGTGGGAGCGCCGCTCAGCCAGAAGCCAGGCTCAAGGCTAGCGAACGCAGCAGCAGTGGCGGGAGCCTCTCCCGCCTCCGCAGCAGCACTAAGGATGTCCAACTGCTGGCTTAGGCCCGCTCCCCATGGGCCTAAGCCCACTGTCAGACATCCCCCGAGAGCTCCTGGACTGCGAGAGGGCGTAGGCCAGGCTGAGGGACACCCCCCCACTCCCCTCCCTCCAGAGTGCACATTCGTACACCAGGCCTCTAGTGTCATAATAATGGAATACTATGATTTTATCAATGAAAATTCAATGCTAACCCCAACTCAGCCACATTTTCAATCCATGTCCTGTGTGACGCTTGGAAGAAATGCAATTTTCAAAAATCATTTGAAAACAACACAAATGCTTTTGGGTCTGCGTAGCACAGGCTGTAACTAGAACACAGACCCTCTGAGTGTGCTTTTCACAGGGCCTGTGTGGGCTGGCAAACCTGCCCAAGACCAGGAAGACTCCCGGCCACCCTGGGACCTGGCCGGCAGCACCGCCCTCTGCACAGGCACTTCCTGCCTGGCGGCTGGCCCGGCTCTGACCAAGGTTCCTGGGAAAATTCCCAACAGCAGCTGCAGTGAGAGAGGCTGAGGAAGGGACTTTTCTTTTGTAAAAGCAGCAAAGTCCAGAACATTCTCATTGTTTTAAATCCTACACACTTCCTAGGCAGGGAGAGGAGGCTGCACCAGGTCATGGAGATGCCCACAGGTGCCCGTGGGAGATGCCGGCCACACAGCAGACCCTGTCCGTCACTGACAGGGTGTCCGTCCCTGCCTGGCGCCGGGTGGGGCCCCGACGAGCTGTCAACAGCCCCTGGGCATCCGTGCCCGCTGCATCAGCCCTCCATCATGTCCAGCCTCCCCACCCAGCCTGCACCGCAAGCCCCGGCTGTCCACCCCAGCTCTGAAGCCGACGTGTAACTTTCTTAGGAGAACATGTTTTACTTAACAAAATAAGTGAGCTTTTCCCCACACAGATGTGTGTTTTCCATGTGCAATGTCTTTTGAGGGTCACCAAGCAGCCTGCCCTGAAGTCCATACATTCGTCAGTTAACCACACCCATTCGTGCAGCTCTGTTCACTGTTGACAGAACACAACCAGACCATGTGAGAAGCGAGTTGGGATTAGTTCTGAGCGGTTTATTCTCGTTGTTACAGTGTCCCACCACAGGATTATAAAGACGCGTGTACAGGTAAATGCTGGGAGGCACACGCGTGTCCCCATTCTGAAAGAAGGCATGTTACATGTACAGAAAAATGCAGCAAACAGTAAGGTGTTCAAAGGAATTTCTGACAATTCAGATGTGACATGTTTACAAGGAAAGCATGTTTTAAAATAATTAAATAATTTTCATATTATTATAAAAGTATTGAGATAAATATCAGAAGACCCCAAAATCACAAGAATGTTTTCCTACGCTATTGAGTCAAAGGGTAGTTCCATTAAAAGTCCCAAAATAGACAGTATTTTGTCGCTATGAAAAACATCAAATTACCAAAATATGTGAAATAAACATGCGATGCGTAAGCGGTACCAAGACCTGTCCGAGGCTCCCAGCCCCGCCGTCCACGCAAGCCCCCGGCCGTCCACGCCAGCCCCCGGGCTGCTTGGGACCTCGGAGGAGCCGGCACAATGAATAAGAATTGAGAGCGACTCACCACCTCTCCTCCCATCACTTCCAGATGGAGCTGCGGAGAAGGAAAACCCTAAACAAACATCGAAGACATTAGCTTATGAGTAAGAAGCTGGCGGTGCGTTCCTCATGCGCCGGGCGCTAAGGTGACGCTGAGCAGTAGTGTCAGGGACAGTGACCTCTCTTTCTCAGACAAGAACTCATCTTAGAAAATGAGGGACAGGTATGAATTCAAAACAAAACAGTACTGTGAAACGGTGAAACATCACAAAATAGCAGCATGTGAACTCAAGAGTCTTTTCTGAAAGCAAATGTTTAAGACTGAACTACAGAACGGCACTTGCTCCAACTGGTCTGCTATCAGCACCTCGGACAAAGGACTTTTTAGAGGTGCTCATATTTATGTTTATATTTATGACTCCCCAAGACAATGTGGACTCTAATTTGTGTTTTGAAACATGAATATTGCACAGGCAGTAACACATCAGCATCTGGTGTCTCTAACATAAAATGACACCTTATTCAACACGACGTGTAAAACCAATGAGGCAGGACTGAGCACAGTGAGGGGACGGCACGCAGGCACTTGAATCGAGGCTGAGTGACAGTCAGGCAATCACAGAGCGAGGGAGGTGTCTTTGCATATGAACCTGGGGTCTCTCACGGACCCAACACACAAGTAAGAACTTTGTACAAACTTTCATGGAAAACCGGGTCTCCAGAAACTTCACACCAAGTAACTTCCACTGAATACAGCAATGACGACTGCCGCCTCATTGAACCTTTTTCTAACAAATGTCCAATAGACAGGTTTTAAAATCTACTTTCCCCCTTTCTCCACCCAGTACAGCCCACAGCCCTCGCCAACAGCCCAGGAACACCCTCTGCGAATCACGCTCACCGTGAGACCCAGGGCACCAGCCTGTCCTGTCAGACCGCCCGCGTCCTGGGACGGACCACAGCACCAGACATCAGGGCTCAGGTCTCTGTCTGGCAATTCCCATTCAATAATATTAACCAGTAACAATGTGTCAATATTCATCGTCTAAGAGGAAGTCATAGTAGCAATTTTTTTAACCAACCAAGATAACTGATAAGCATTTTTAACGTTTTAAATGGATAAACATGTAATGATCCAATTTGTTAGGCGAAACCTCACACACACGTTTTCCTCACCCAGTGAGACCGCACGACACCTGGGGGCGCTGAGACGAGACCCCGCTCTGTCTTTCCTTTAAAAAGGCGCCGCTGCGCGGGCCACGCCCAGGCCCCTGGTTTACCAGCTGAGGAGGAGCACATCCGAGGCCGAGGGACAGGCTGTGGAGACCTGTCGCCCGGTCATCTTTGGCTGAAGCCTCAGGAGAGGGAGGGGCTGGCACGGCGGCCGCAGAGCATCCAGCTTACACGTCACTGACGGGCAGGCTCGCGTCGTCCAAGTCCAAGTCCGCGGGGCCGCGCTGCCCCTCCGGAGGGCCGTTCCTGCCGGGAGGGGTGGGCAGGGCGCGTCCGCTCACTTGGGAAGCTGGTGCTCTTGGAGGGACAGTCTGGACCTTGAGGCTCCCTGGCTTGACCTTGGCAAGAGATTCGCAAAATCCTCGCTTCTCCAGGGTAAAGCTTGAGACCAAAGAGCTGCTGCGAGCGGCGGTGGGA